GAATTTGACAATAACTTTTGAAATAAAATGGGGTAAATAAAAGGGCATAGGTGGTATGAATGAATGTCATTCAAAATAAGTGGGAAACATTTATGAAGATTGTGAGTATTTAGGATTGGAAAGTAATTAGGTAAATTAGACATAAGTACATGCATTGAGGCAATGCATAATTAGTGAGTTTGAATTGGATTGTTTTGTGTGATATTGGTGGACAATGTTTTAATGTGATGTATTAAAATAAAGTTTTGCTTGTGGACAATCAAATGATAGGTGTTAGGTATTTTGATATTGCTATATTTATACATATATTTATGTAGTATTTCAATACATATTAGCTATAGTTTGGTTAAAGACAAAGATATTTAGTACTTATAAAGTTTAAATTCTATTTTGTAACCAAAGAAAGAGATTCTCAAGGAAAAAAGGACTAAAACCAGACAAAGATGGAAACTTGGAGGTTGGATTATGCATTCAAGAACAAACAAAGAGAAGAAAATGGGCTAAAAGAATACCCCACGTCGTGGTCACTTATATGCCACAACACGACCACATGTCCAACATAGAAGCTTCTCCGGATCTGCATGGAAAACTTTACGCATATGGATCGCAAGTGATTCTCATGATTTAATGAGCATTGTGCCATGTCGTGGAAGCTATAATATGGAAAGTATAAATTTCGACTTTTAGGTCAAATTTCAGGGACGAATTCCGGTAAGCCGCGGCTTTCTTCGGCCAGAAGTAACCGAAAACCCTTTTGGAAGGCAGGATTCAAGTGGAGAACAAGTTTTAGAGAGATTGAAGTGAAGAATCAACATTAATCATTCGGTTTGGTTAGAGTTTGTAATGTTTAATCTAGTTTGCTATTTGATTATGTGCTCTTTTTCTGTAATCATGGGCTAATAACCCTTTACTTTCGTTTATATTAGGTGAACTCTAATACTATGTGTTGATTTCTACTTTATGGATTATTGAAGTTGGTTTTAGCTTGTGGTTGGTATATCATCATCGTAGCATGTTAAAGTCTCTATCTTTATGGCCTTCCCCTCGAGTTTTGAGAACTTAGACGGTCGTTGATTGCTTGACCTTGTTTTCCTAATTGTTTGATCATTAAATTGCTAGAGCTAAAGGTTGATCATACCCTAGTATAAGTGGTAAAGTTAGTTGCTTAATTATTTTAAAGAGAATTATTTTATCATAATATATGCTTGATTTTTTATTTTGATCATAGATAGATAATTCATTCATAGTCCAAATATATCTTAAAATCAATTTGGTGTACTTAACTTACATGATCATTTAGTTGACATATGCTATTTAGTTTGATCGTGAGACTAGTAAATTCTAATTTGGTAACCAACTAAAATTAATCCATAAATTGAAATTAACCATAGGAAAAAGAGGGATTCGAAATTAAATGGAAGCATCTCCTTCTTTTGATTGAAAATAGTTTTTAGTTGTTTGCTTAGGTTTAAAGTTTTTGGTTATTTAATTTAAGTCTTACTGAACCAGAAAATCAGATTAAAAAAAATCCCATTTAAAAGTTTGTTTCTCTACTTTAATCATTAGCATTATTTTCTAAATTAAAATTTCGTTCCCAATGTTCAACTCCTTACTTATTTTACTTTACTACTACACAACTAGGTATTGCTTTACTACTACGCGACTAGGTATACTAACTATTGTGTTTTAGCTAAGTTGAATAATCGAGATATAAATTTAAAGCTTTTATGTGGTTATATAAAACACATCATAGAACTTGATTCTTTTCATTTACATTTGCATATCAATTGATTTACTAGAGAGGCACTCTCCTCAACTTTTTTTTAACACAACACCAAGCGTTCTTGATAATGTTTTTGTTCATATAATTACAGAAGAAGTAAAGGCCAAGTTACATATGTCGCTGTATATCAGGTTATTGATTATTCTAATACAAACTATAAAGGGAGAATTTCATATATGTCATTCTTAAACATCAAAATATCATATTTACCCAACTTAATTTCTGAATATCATATTTACCTTTCATAAAATTTCTAAATATCATATTTACCCTTCATAAAATTTTTAAATATCATATTTGTCATTTTTAAACATCAAAATATCATATATGCCCTTCTTAAATATCAAAATATCGTATATGCACTTTTTAAACACCAAAATATCAATGATAATATTTAAAATATCTTCCATCTAGAACATAATAATAATCAACAACAACAAAAACGAAACAATCAAAATATACATTCCATAGAAAGGATTGAAGATGAATCGTTTTGTCTATCAAGAGGACGACATTCCAACAATTTAGAAGTTCACATTCCATTAATAGATGTAAGGATAATATGGTTAAATTTCTTAATTATTATAATAATTCTAAGGTATAAAAAATGATTATAAAATATTAAAAACATTATAAAAAAGGATTTGGGCAAATATGATATTTTGAAGGTTTATGAAGGGTAAATATGATATTGAGAAATTAAGCTGGACAAATATGTATTTTAAAGTTTAAGAGGGGCATATATGAAATTCTCCCAATTATAAAAGTACAAATTATTAGTTTCAAACATGTTGGACTTATAATTATCCGTGCAACTTTCTTACGATTATGCATTATATATAAAAGTCCATTTGGTTCGCTTTATATTAACATGTTTTTTTCCTAAATTATGATGAAATGTTGTTCAGTTTGCGCAGTTGTTGCAATTAATTAAATTTATGTCACATTTATCTCTCATAAGCCCATTCTCACGTAAGAAATGATTAAATATAACAAATAGCAACATACTTTTATATTGTTAATTCTTTTAAAAAAGATGCATAATTGACAATGAAATTTCATTGACTATTTATTCTTTCCCAAATTATGATGGAATGTTGTTCAGTTTGCGTAGTTGTTGCAATTAATTAAATTCATGTCACATTTATCTCTCATAAGCCCACTCTCACGTAAGAAATGGTTAAATACAATAAATAGCAACATATTTTTATATTGTTTATTCTTTTAAAAAAGATGCATAATTGACATTGAAATTTCATTGATTGTATGCAGGAATGTGGGCATGGTTAGAGCTACAATTGTGAAGGTTGAAGCTTTTCAAGAACTGATAGATAAGGATTTTTCAATGAAGCATGATTGAGATGAAAGTAAACTAATGTGACTAATTCACCAAGTTTAAAAAAATGCTTTGGAATTTTAAATTTAATAACTATATTATGTTGTTAAAAATTATACAAAAGGCCATCAAACAGTTGACTTTCAATGTTAATAGTGTTAATTTGTAGTTTATGTGGTTACAAGCACTAGCATACATCTCCATCCCTTGTGAAGCATGTGTTAACCCTCTAGATTACTTTAAACAACAATGAAGTCTCTACAAATATTTTTGAGTAAATTACACGATTGGTCCCTATAATTTGAGGTAATCAGCACATTTGGTCCTTAACTTTTGTTTTAACTCAGACAATCCCCATTGTAAATTTTATTTTTTTTAACTCGAAAAGTTCCCATAATATATTTGGTCCTTCAACCTTTTTTATTTTCAACTAAGCTACGATATCATCTTCATATTCATCTTCATCACAAAGACAGGGAGATATAACCATTAGTTCCACCATCATCGTTTTTAATGATAATTTTAAAGATGCCATTGTTAAAAAAGCTATTTGTTTGTCTTATGAAACTTTTGTAGGGTTTTCATTCTGAGAGGTACTAAACAAGAGAACCGTAGAGACGCATGCTAATTTGCAACATTAGTTAACCTAGCCTCACATTAGACATTGATTTAGACTCGTATCGTGTGTGCAATTTTATAAATTACCGACATTGATTTAGACTTGTTGGAACTTTGCTTATAAGACTTTGTCTCTTAAAAGCATTATCCCACATAGAGTAAAGAAAGAACATTGACTAGCTTTATAAACATTTGTCTCTACATATTTTTAAATGTATAAAGCATGACAAAAAGGTATTTTGAATAGAATTATGGTATTGAGCTATCAAATTAATCTTGCATTAGGCTTGTCATCGAGTTAATTAATGGTCAATGGCCTTTAAGCTCTTGGGCTCTACTTGACTAATTAATTAATTTGTATACACACAACTTCTTAAATTGAAATATTAATTACAAATCTGTTAATTGTTAATTAATTGATTGAAAGTTAATTAGGCAATTAATTTTGGTTTTGGAACAAGTATAAGTGTTTAGTTTTTAACTACTATTTGCACACTATAAATAGATGATCAATTGACAGATTAAATGGTTCATCACATACACAATAACACCACTTTCTTTCACTCTCGTTTTTTCTGGGAAATCAAGATAGCATGGAGAATTTCTTCACGATTAAGAGTCAATTTTAATCAAATTGTTGTATTCTCTAGATAGATTCCTACTAGGGAATTTCTGTCTTAGGACCCTGCAAAGCAGACATCAATCTCTTTTTATTTTCGTGATTAGTGAAACTGTTATAAACATCCAAATACAAGTATGTTCTTTTGATTTGTGAATCCTAGTATATAAATTTGATTTATTTATGTTTTTGTTTGTTAAATTTCGTTTTTGATAATTTTTGTCATAACAAGACTCATCGTGTGTACAATTTTATAAATTACGTGATAATTACCACCCAACTTTTTTTTAAATCAAATCCCTTATATTAATAAATAAAGAGTCGCAGTCATCATAGTACATATACCCAAAAGATACAAACAACCAGTGTTCATCACTAGCAAGCATCAAGCAATGGTAGAATAAGAATACAGTTTACTTCATGATATGTATAGAGTAAACTACATATGTGGTCCCTGAGCATGGCCAGTTGTTTCAGTTCTGGTCCCAAAAAGTTTTTTTTAAACATTTTTGGTCATGTTCCAAGTAAAAAACGACTATATTTTTGTGGCCAAAAACAGTTATATTCAAGAACCACAAATAGTCATTTTGTTTCACACACACACACACACACACACACACAAAAAAAAAAAAAAAAAAAAAAAAACCAACAACAACAACATTACAAACACTTGGAGCACGAACCAAAATTGCAAGTGAAAACCATTTGGGACTAAAATTGCAAAAAGTCGCTAGACACAGGGACCAAAACTGTAATTTACTCTTATGTATATCTTCATTAGAAGGATGTGACACCATTTCTATCAAAGAAACATCCGGTAGGACCACCATCCGGAAACAATGCAACCTTAACTGGGGTTTTAGCACCTTCTTCAGTACTTAATATGCCATTATTATAGTTAATATCTGTCTTAACATATCCTGGACACACACAATTGATGCAAAAACTTGTGTGTTTTTTCCCCAATATTCTCGTGTAACCATTCATGGCTATTTTTGAAATCATATATGCTGACAATGTAGTGGGCCACCCTTTGCTTTCCAACAACCCCTCTTTGAAATCATTCAGATACTGATTAAGCACTTCATCTATTTTCTCTTCTGTTAAGTTCTCAACATCACTCAGTATCCCTTTAGCCCATTCATTCTTCAAATCCTGAAACACACATGTTTTTCTTTTAAATTATGTTATTTAAGTACGCTATAAATTTAAGCTCCCAAAAAACTTTTACCTTTAACTTTCCCATGGAGGAGGAGACATTTACAATCCTTGGTGAATCTGATAATTCTAAAAGTGGAATGAAATGTTCAACCATTCTTTTTGCTCCATAGTAGTTTGTTTCCAGACATTCTACAGCCAACTCATTGGACTGAATCAGTATCTTATTCCAATCGATTTGACTTCCTGTTGCCTATATTCAAGAAAATATTCAATCATAAAAATATTCCAACTTACAGTTATTTTTCTTTGATAAAACTATTATATTTACAGATGATTAAATGGTTTACTCAAGCTATGAAACAAAAGATGTTAAACCACTTACCTCGGCTCTTGAAGCTTTAAAAGCTTCTTCATTTCTCATAACTCCACCAATCCCAGAATTGTTCACCTGTACATGATTTAATTCACATGAAAAGTAAGATCTTATTGCTTCTACATATTTGGTAATAGGGTTTTGAATAATACCAATATATCAAGCTTTCCGAATTGTTTTTTCACAAATTGAGCCAAGGAAGCTACACTTGCAGGATCTGTAACATCAAGCTGATGAAATATAACAAGATCAGAAAGATGAGTTCCTTTGAATTTGTCAAGAGCATCGATCCCTCTTTTTTCATCTCTAGAAGTCAACACAACTTTCACTCCATTTGATGCCAATTGCTTGCAAATTTCAAATCCTATCCCTTTGTTTGCCCCTGTTACAACCGCACATCTACATACACACCCACACCCACATTTACCATCAATTCTTTGCTAAATTGATTTTTTGATTAGGAAAGATTTGATAAATTTGACGTTTTACTGTCAAATAGATCTTATCTACTACACAATAAAATAGTAACTAATTACTAGAAAAATTAATAAGAGCATCAAATTAGGAAGAAAAAATCTAGTGGAACAGCTGCAAAGCTAAAAAAAAACAGAAAAGTTTGACGACATACTTGATTTATAGAATGTTAGCCGATTAGGTTTGAAGTTTGAAGATCAAGATTCTAACGATAAAATTAAGAAGTAAGATATCCCAAACACCCCCTAAGATTCTAATGATAAAATTAAGAAGTAAGAACTACACTTGGTCGATAAACAATCACTGTAATAGCAGTTACCTGTTTCCCGCAGATTCTGCCATTTTTTGGTTGAATTTCTCGGCGGCGATCGTTTATGAACGAGAATGAGGACCTTTCATATTTGTCCTTCAATTGATTTATCATGATGACCTTCAATTGATTTACGATTTTGGTCTCCGGAAAAGAAAAGTGATTAAGAATAATATAAGATAAATACTAGAAAATGATAAAAATAACCATTTATATTAATTACATTACAAAAATAACAAAAAAAATCGAACTTGTAAAAATAGCTCTCAATTTCGCAGATGGTATAGTCCAAATCGCAGATGGACTTTTCCATCTGCGAATGTACAAGCAGCTAAGCACAGTTTTATCCCGATTTGGATTTTTCCATTTGAGATAAAAGACTTTTCCATCTGCGAATGTACAAGCAGCTAAGCACAGTTTTATCCCGATTTGGATTTTTCCATTTGCGATTTTATCCCGAAAATCCTATATAAGCCTTTTTTTTCTCTTCATTTTTCACTCTTTATCATAGAAAAACTCTCTCTCGGGGCGATTTTCGCAATTTTGGCGGTTTTTTGAAAAACATGGAGGATTATTTCAATAATCCCGCAAATATGGTTAGATTTTAACTCTTTAAATGTTTTAACTATTTTTTATTTTATTATTTATTGTGTTAGTTAGTGTAAAAAAATAGAAATTATAATGTTTGTGAAAGGGTAATTTAGTTGGATTTGATAGTTTTAAATATATGTTATTAGTATATTTGAAGTTTAAATGCTATTTTGTTAGTGGTTGTTTGAATGTACAAGTAGAGACTGCGTAGAGTGTGCATCGGATGGTTGTACATTTAGTAAAATGGTTAGAATATGCTAATTTTTTTAAGTGATTAGTTAAATAAATTGTTAAAATAATGTTTATAATTTGTTATTTTTCGTTTGCTTAGTTGTTGTATAAGTTGAAAAATTGTATATTTTTATCTTGTAATTATTTCTATTAATTGAAAAATAGTTAAATTACAGTATATGCACAATAGTCGTTTGTATACATATTTGTCGTATAAGTAGAAAATTTGTATATATTTGTTTTAGAAGTATAATTTTTTTTTTATACTATTGTTAGAAATTGTTTGTATTTATCGTATAAGTTGAAAATTTGTATATATTTATCGTATAACTTGCAAAATTGTTAATTTGGTTGTCGTTTTATTTGAAAAATTATATATATTTATCGTATAACTTGCAAAAATTGTTTGCAAAATTATTAGAAAAATATTTTATATAATTAGAAAGTTTAAAATTGTTTATATATTTGTCGTTTAAGTTGAAAAATCGTTTAACAAAATGTTATTTGGTTATTTGTGTATATTATTGTTTTTTTTATCGTAAATATATTTGTCGTATAACTTGGAAAATTGTTTATATATTTGTGGTTTAAGTTGAAAAATTGTTATACTATGTGTATATTATTGTTTTTTATTGCACTTAATAATCATATATTTTAAAAACAAAATATTTGTTTAGTTCTCTAATATGTTTTTGTATTTTTTGCAGCATGATTTTAGTTATCTCAATGTGAAAGCAATTGTAAACTTAAAAGACTCGGGCTGTAATATATGAGAAATATTTGAAGTTTTAGATGGTATCAGGCGTGACATTTTTAGAGATACCGTATTTGGTTATTTGTTGGATGTCCCTCGTTTACAAGGGGACACATTGTTGTTCCATAAAATGTTCCTTCATCAGATCCGGCCGGACCATGTTTTATCTCAAGATGGAATAAAACGCTTATATTTTAGAGTAGACAATACGAAAATAGTATATATGGGCCGGAAGAGTTTTGTTTGATAACCGACTTCAATTTTGGGGAGTATCTAAAAAAACATTGGGAAAAAAGTGTCGGAAAAATTAGTAACTAGTAAAAAAAGATGTTTATTGCGTGAGCGGCTATTTCCGAACCATTCGGTGAAAATCGGCGACCTGAAAAGTTTAATTTTAAATCAAACATTCTTAGAAGTTGACGACGCCGATGCAGTTAGAGTATGTTTGATATACATTTTGTGTGAAGGTTTTTTGGTAAAAGAAATAAATGATCGGGTGCCACAATATTGGTATTTTTTGGCTGATAATTTGGATGTCTGGAATCGGTATATTTTGTTTACATTAAAAGTTTTATTTTATTAAAGTTATAATTTATATTATAACTAATTTGTTTTTTTGTTTTGTTAGTTTCGCTTGGGGTAGCTATCTTTGGGATTTTACTCATGATGACTTTGAGGATACATGGAACAAGATAAATAAATATTTATTACTTCATGAGCGTCGTCAAATTTTAAAATACTCCGTCTCAGGATTTACGGCTGCAATAAGGATATAAAATTTTTCTTATATTTAAATTATTTTATTGTTATGTTTTTTATTTTAATTTTAATTTTTATTACTGTAATTGTAAAAAATTGTAGATATGGATATATGAGATGCTTCCGGCTGTCCGTGCATGTGGATTTGTATTGAGAAAAAATAGAGACTTGTCTCGGATGAAACGATGGAGTGGAACAAAAAAATTGAAATGGGTTGACGTGAACAAGATTTTTTCAAAGATACAGGTTTATAAATATTTTTTTTCATTATTAATAAACTTCATTATTATACTTTTATATGTATTTTTAATATGTTTATTTTTTTAGGAGGGACAACCACCAAGACAAAACATGTTACCGAGTGATGGTGAGATGACATCTTTTTATTATATGTCATTTCAAGAGTATGTACATGGTGAACGGAAATCAGTTCCATCCCCAGTACGGGACCATTTTAGGAGACAAGATGAATATTCGTCTAGTATGTCGTCCAGTGGTCGCTCTCATGGCAGAGGTAGAGGCAGTGGGAAACCCAATCTAGACGAGGTGTTGAAACGGCTGCATGCACTAGAGCAACATGTGTTTATGAACCGACAACCTACATAGGTTTTTGTTGAAGAAGTGAATAATGAAGAAATTTGGAATAACATAAATTTTGAGGAGCCTGTAGTATTCCAAAGAAAATATGATGAACGGGTTAGTTACACGCTACATTATTTTTTAAATTTTATTAACATATATGAATATTTGTGTTCATATTTTATATTTAAAAATCTAGGTTGTACAAGATGAAGTGATGAATAAAAATAATACAACTGAAAATATTTTTCGTGATATTGAAGACGAGAAGGTTGTTATAGATATTACCTTTACGATTTTAATAATTAATTTTTAATGTGTCTTTTGTTAGTAAGTATAATGTTTTATTTTTAATGTAGGAGTCGGAGGAGAGGAATGACAATGCAGGGAACAAATTTGATGATGATGTGTTTGATGTAAATGATTATAATGAAGCTAAAGAGGTTATTATACTTACATTTATTTTTATTTTGTTTTTAGTAGATTGAAACATTTTTTTAATTAGAGATTATTGCTTATTAAATTAGGTGTTGGACGAAGATGAAGTAATAATTACGGGAAATGTTGATTATTATGATGATTATGGTGTTGATGGCAAAGAAGTTACACCCGATAAACCGAGGACACGAAAACCATCACAGTATTTGTGCCCTCCTTACACCGAGGTATTCATTTAATTTATAAACTTATAATTTTATGTTTATGTGAATTATCTGAAAGATAGAGATTTAAACATTTGAATATTTTTTTTAGTCACACGACACCGAAGCGAAAAAGAAGAGCAAAAAAGAAGGTTGATATCAAATCAACAAGCCCCGTTCCTCCTCCAGCTTTTGCTGTTGCTCACGACTTCTCCGTGTTGCGCCTGCAACCTTACGTAGAAGGCGGTGAGGTTGTCATCCAAAATTATTTATTTCATTCATATGATTGCCAGCATCGTTTGTTTAATTTCGTGTTAGAGATTTTTGGAGCGCCTTGTTTGGGCATACATACGACGGATGGTTGGAGTCAACAGTAAAATAATTGTTAATTTATTATTTTAAAAGTAATTTGTTTTTTAGTCAATAACAAAACTATCATAATTTTGTGCAACATATAACCATTTGGTATAGACTATTGATGGAGAGACGGTTTGAGGGCGACCGACATACAATAATGCCTCCAAATTTGTTTGTTTGTCATGCTTTGGAAGAAGGCCAGGATTGGAGGGCGTTTATGGCTGGTATTGCTACGTACCCCAACTTCTTGGTTGCTTGGTGGGATGTCGATACGGTAAACTTAATTTGTTATATTCAAAATATTATCGATATTGTCTTTATGTTTTTGTATTGTGATATAAAAAACATATATTTTTTTTTTTCTTATCCTTATACAAGTCTTATTGCAGATTCATTCATCCCCTAATCACTGGCTATTTGGGGAACTACGATTGACGTCAATGGAAGTCCATATTTATGACAGTCTTGGTATAGTGGCTTATCAAAAATTCAAATCTGATAGAACCTTTACCAAATTTGAATCTCGGGTGGCAAATTATTTGGACAAGATTAACTATTGGGCCCGAAGGAACATCCCAAGGATTCCATTGAATATGCAATTCATTTATGAAGAAAATGTTCCCCAACAAAGTAGTCATTTGGGAGATTGCGATGTTTTTGTTTGTATGTTTATGGAGCAATTAGTCTCAGGTCAACCAATCCGTGAACTTATTGACCCAAAGAACGCAACTTTAGAGTTTCGCCAACGGATGGCAAAAAATTTTTGGGGGTCGAGTCTTGGTCCTATGTAGTTGGATTATATTTTTGTATATGTAAATTAATGTTGGATTTGATTATTAGTTAATTATTAGTTTTAACGTTACAACATAAGAACGACAACAACATTCATTTGAACGTTACAAGTACACGGTTCTAAACATAAGTACAAATACAACAATTTATTGACCTAACAACTTCAAAACTATCAAAATAATATTAAAAAGCTTACAACTTGTAAACAACAACTGTCAAGAACAACACCCAACTACAAACCAACGCTATCTTCAACTTCTTATTTTCTGATTGTAAGAGCTTATTAGAGTTAGCTACTTTAGCTATTACCATAGATGATTGGTCCTTCTCTTCATCAACCCAATTGATAAACCCGCATTTTGGTCCCTGTAAATTTAAACATAGATAGTAAGAATTGTTGCCATGTAAACACGAGGGTTTAAATATGAATGACGTTAAGAACATCA